TGAAGGGTCGTCTTTTGAACCACTTTTGAATAAAGAAACTATATATCCTTTTGCCCAAATTTTGGGAAAATTAAGATACTATTAAACAATTTTTGAAAACAAGGAACTAAATATATTTGACTGGACTTTAACATTTCATTTAAAATTGAGGCAAAACCACTGGCTTTTTTTATTTTTTAGTGTACTAATCGCCTTTTCTATTTCTGTTTTTGAAATCAAATTATCAAGTTCAGTATTTTTTCTCTTTCCATATCTTTTAGCTTATCTTTTAAATAATCACAGGACGCATTGGTCTCTTTTTCATTTAAATTTTTAACATAAGAAAACCAAGCATCTGTTGACACATCAGATGTGGAATTCTCCCTATTTGTATCTGATAACTCATGAAGCAGTGCCCAATATTGACTTGGATTATCGTCTTTTAAATTATCTAATTTATCTATTAAATCTTGTCGAAAATCCCTTATTTTTTTCTTTCTTGTTTTTCTGTAATGTTTTAAAAGACTGAAAAAAGATGACCTTATTACTGGATCAAAAGGATATTTTTGTAACAATTTTTCTTTATATCATTTAGGTTATTTTTTAATTTAGATAATGAAGCATCTAACCAATCGGGTTTTTTTCTGTACATTTTGTTTTAACTTGCTTGTTGATTTTTTAGTAGGCTTTTGTTTTAGTAATAAATTTGCTGCTTCATAGAATATAGTATTAACATCTTTAATCATATTATTAATATCAGAATGGTAATCAGTTTTATTAAAATTCAAAATTTTTTATTGCATACCGCCTGAAGATAATGCTTCCTGAAATAATTCAGAAGAGTTCTCATTCCATTTATAACTTTTTAGAGACATCTGAGTGTGACATGTATCTCCTTTTATTTTACACTGTATGTTCAATAACACAGAAGTCTGACAATGATCGGAGAGATCGCCCAATAAGTTATGGACTTTAAAAAAACATACCTTTGATAACAAATTTTCTGATACAATAAAATAGTCTACAACGCTATATCCATTTGGAGTATAGCATGTTAATTGGCCAATAGAGTCTCCAGTAGTTCGTCCATTTAAAATTCTAAGACCTGTTTCAATACAGATATCATTTAAATATTTACCCCTAGACAAGATAGTTTCGTCCATACTAAAACGTACAGGTACATTTATATCTGGATCAAAGTTATTAAAAATCTGGTTTACACCATTTCTATTATCCCCCTCAATAAAATCTGGTTGTTTAGTACCTGTTCTAGAATTCAAATCTCCTGCTAAAATTGTACTTCCACTTTTTGAATATTTCTCAATATCTGTTTCCAAAAGGTCAAAAATTTCCTCATCTAGAGATAGTGTGTAAGAAGAATTAGAGGGTGGATCATAAATGAAACAAAGATATATATCCTCAGTTGTGCTGAAAAATGTGCTACAAAGTTTTAACCATATGTAATCATTAGTTTTGTGTTCTAAAAATTTAACCCCAGCTTTCAAGTTTGATTTTACAAGAACTGAAATTCCTCCCGATATTTTATTTGACTTTTTGGATTTTGCTCTTGATAAATGAACTGAATTAAACCCATTAATAACTAATGATTCCTCCTGGGTACAATGTGTCTCCAATAAACAAATAATATCCTTTGTTTCTATTTCCCCTAAAAATCTATAGTCTTGATATTTATTGTACCCTTTACTTTTAAAACCATTTATATTCCAGCAACTGATATGTAATTTCGATTTCTTTGTGAATAAACACATTTTTTATCTCGACACCAAGTTTTTATACTATGTACAAAGAAAATTATATACCAATGGTTAACAAGAACAATTACAATTATATATTACATGTAATAAGAAAGATAACTCTTGTAATCTTATATATTGACTTGTCTGACTACTGATAATTATCAAAGAAAAAATTTAAAACTTCTTACACTATACATCTAAGCTTTTCACTTTGTTTATTTACATACTTTCATAGACTTTCTATCTGATAATTAGGCTTTTATCAAATGTTTTAGATATAGTCTATACATGTATCACTGTACTTTAACTGACTTCTTATGAGTTATAACATTTATCATTATTATTACCAAACATGCATGCTTAATTTTTAACATTTTTCAGTCAAGTGAATCTCCTTTATAAAAATAACAGTCAATCAGTACAGTCATGACATTTAAAACAAATGAGTTTTTGATGCTAGCATATAATCAACTGATCTTTGACCATTGAAATTGTAAAAAGTGTAAGATCCCAATAAGTCACATAGAAATCTCCCATAAAGAAGTCTAAATTGCAAATCTTTAGAAAGGGATATAAGAAGGTTGTCATGTAGGTTTACTCCTTTATCAAATTAACGTCTTACTAAGGGAATATCATGGGAATAATTTATAGGGACATGACAGTCATTGACGTTTTCATTGCCATCATCATTTTGGATGCAGTCTAGTAGTCAGTTTTATTTCATATATGGTTTTATATAACAAAAACACAAATAAACTATGTAAGAGAATCTAAAGATTTGTTTATCCATCTTCAATATTGAAAATTTTTATCTTTTTAATTGAGTTATTTTAAAAGGTTTCGTATAAAATGAGGTGGTGTTCAACCGTACACAAAATAAACAAAACCATTCATTTACGTTCTAATTAACATCATAATACGCGCTTCAATCAATGTAAGAACATCATACTTAATATAAAAATAAGTAAAAGATGTGGTATGGTTGCCAATGAGAAAACTATCCACAAGAGACCAAAAGACGTAGATGTAAGCAACTATAGCCGTATAGGTCACCGTGCAGTCTTCTACAATGAGCAAAATCTATACAGTCTGGTCTGGTCACGCATTGCTTTCGCGATCAAAATAATTCGTTTCCTGATCATTCACGATCAATTTTGATAAACAATTAACAACATTCTTCTTTTAAAAAAACAATCTGAACCTTTTCGTGGAAATCTTCAATTCCATTTTACTGTACTATCTGACACATACAAGATTTAGTCGAATGTGACCATTATCCGATTCAAATGTGTCGCCTTTTGTGTTTTTAAAAAAGAGCACTGCATTTTTCCTATTTCTTAGTGCAAAGTCTTATTGAGGAATAATAATCATTTTGACAGATAAATTTTCTTTTTTTCTGATTTTTTCCGCCTTTTGATAATGCAACGGATTTTTGCACCACTGTTTTTTTTTTTTTGCCTTCACGATCTGACCGCAATGCATGATCACTGTTACATCATTCTTTCACGATAAATTTCCTCGATAAACCAAATGACAGCCATGCATTGGCCTAACGTTTATTTCGTCCTTCCCAATCTGGATTTCCGTTCAATATCTGAAGTCGATCGTAACTTGATGTCAAGTTTCAGTAAGTGAGTCGCCATGTCATAGATTTTTAAAAGATTTCGCATTCAACTTTGACATTTTGATCTCTAAAGAAAATAGACAAAATAATTCCTTTAATTGTTATACATGTACTTACATCTGGGACTATTATACTAATAATGTTAGTATAATAGTCCCAGCTTACATACATCTTATTTAATGAAAACCATTACAATAGCTCAACTTTTCCATAGAATACACCTAGCCTCGAACAACATAAAACACGTTTAAACTAGCTGGCTCTCGGCTGACTACTACACTTTGAGTGCAACGTTATACAAGCGGATTCCAGTCTAAGAAATACCCCGAAACAGACTAGAGAACGTTTGATTCATATCATCTCCATTACCAGCAAAAACTCTTTTACTATATATATACGCTGATTTTTGACGTCATTTAAATGTTTTATTGGCAAATTCTTGGACTGACAGGATCATTGCATGTACATGGATCCGTCTGATTTCTTGTTCACAATATTCAGCCAAATACTTGATAGTAGTCATGCTTACATATGTGACGTGTATCTTTTGTTGAAACGGTTCTTAGAATTGTCTAAATATTGCCATTGTCCAATGATAATAACCGTTCCACAGAGTTTTCTTTAAAACCAAAAAAATGTTGTTGCTAGTTAAATTTGTTTGTATGATTTTACAATACGTTCAAAATACGTTACGCAATTATTGGACTAAAACAATACATTCTTCTAAAATTAGCATACCTAATATACCAATGATAATTCCTATACCTAGTGACTGTTGGTTCCTTTCTCTACCGTATTGTATATATCAGGTTTAGGTTAAAAAGAGATATATTTCTTTTGATATTGTTTTCTGAATTTGAAACAACTTGACACGCAAATGTATTAGTAGTGCCCATTGAAATATTACAAGATTGCGTTTTTCTTTTGTTGTCAAAATAAGTGTAGGTGTGCGGCATTATCGCCTGATGGTTCATCCGAATAATGTGGGTCGTTACACTATCATATCGTTGCTCGAAAGGCCGCTAGAGGCTGCAGAACTATTCGAGTTAGCTTGGAGTTGGTCTTTTTCTTGTATAAAAGACTCAACATATGTGAAATATTTTGTGAAATTTTTGTATCAATCTGATTTGTGGGCCGAACCAGTCAATGAAATGGTTATTCCTGATGTTTCTCTTGTTCTTGTTTCACTTTTCAATGTTGACATTATTGTCTTTTTAATGAATAAACATGCTGAACACATGCGCAACCCATTTCCACTTAAAGTCAATTAAAGGTTACATAAATACGGATTCAAATGAGTTGATTAGCCAATAATACATCAGCGATATTTTTTATCTATTCTTATTTTGACGAAATTGAACCAATCTGACTGCTAATAGCGAAATATCATTTCTATATTTCGCTTTTATAAATGTTTGAAACAAAAAATTAACAATATTTTGATTTTCTGTCTATTTCGTAGTCCAAATAATTATGACGTCTTGAAAGCACAATGCTTGAAAGGCTATTTTAATTTTTTTTCTGTGAAGCCTTCGTAAATTAAAATAGCCTTTCAAGACGTCATAATTATTTGGACTATCTAATTAGTAACTAGTGCCCCTTTAAATCACCCAAATCTAATGACATATTTAGTTATTTACCTTAGTAATGAATCTAATGTGGGTGACTTCGTTATTAAACGTAACTTGGTCTTTGTTATCTGTACTAGTATGAACTTAGTGATTCATCAGCTTTCAGTTTCATTGTCCGTAAAATCTCGATTCTTAGAATAAAAGACACAGGTGATAACGATTTATATTTTTATTACCTTCACAACCCTTCTTGTCATATATATGGTTACACCAGGTAACAAAAAATCACACAACTATACAGATATTTCCTTGTCTCTTCGTTTTTAAAGTTTTTAAAATAAAGGAAGGAAAAATAACAAATATCTTAATTGAGGGTCTATAACTTTTACAGTAAACCCTAAACAGTCTAGTCTAGTCATTCAGGTGAATATGGATGTCGAGCCGAACTTAATAGAATTCCCTTGAAAAATAAAATATTATATTCAATATTCAACTACCTGAACCATATAGTTTCTTCGGAAAATTCTTTGGCATATGATATATTCACTAAATCTGTAGATTCAAACCCTTGGGTCATAAAGGTCAAGAGTCTTTTGTATGGACTTGGAATGTCTTATATCATCAATAACTTTAATTATGTTAAAGGTAATTTAAATTCCATTAAACAAAGAATTAATGACCAATGTTTGCAAGTTCAAAATGCAAATATATTTGAATAAAAAAAGTTAGACTTTTTCAAGAGTGTATACATAATGGGCAGAAAACCACCCTATGTTGATATATTGAAAAAAAGAAGTGACAGAGCTGCAATATGTAAGATCCGTATAAGCGCTCATATACTGATGATTGAAAGAGGGAGACATCTAAATATTCCCAGAAATGAAAGATACTGCTCTGTATGTAATTCTGGTCAAATTGAAAATGAAAAACATTTTCTTTTACATTGTGAAAAATACTCAACTAAAAGGGCCATATTTTACCAAAAAGTTTCAAACATAATCGTTGATCCTACAAAATTTCAAAAAAATGAAAATAATGTAATCTTTTTATTAAATAATAATTCATACACAATCCTAAAATTGACTTCCTCTTTCATTTCAGACAGTCTGAACCTGCGTAAAGCAGAACAAACTCTATAAAATTGTCATTATGTCTAATTCATAATCATTGTTTATAATATTACATATTAATATAGTCATTATTTGCAATACTTATTATGTATGATCAACTATGTAATTAATATACCATGAGCCTTAACCATTTATTGTTGATGAGTTTGTGCTAATAAATATTTGTATTTGTATTTGTATCAACGCTTGATTTAAATCATCCTTGTGTCCCTCAGTCTAACAAGTAGATAATAAATATTTATCTTCACTATCCAATGTTAGTAAAACTGAAATCATTCAGAATACCCAGAAATACCATTTTTCAAATTTATAAACATTATTATCATATTTTTATTTACAAATATCAATTGAGGAAACCAAATTCCAATAGAGTCATAGCATCATAATGGGTAAGACAACATTGAATGATTCATTTTTACGGTGACAAAAACATCCTCATAGTGCAATTCTGGCTTTATGTAAGATGTTGTTTGTGCGCACAAAAAAATGCTTTAATCTCAACACATTTTGTGCCTGTACCAGTTCATACAACCTAGACAATGTGTGTTAGCCTTTATTTGTCTTTGTTCTTACAGCTGGTATTTTTCGGAGGAGTCGAGCGTTGGTGGCATAAGAGACATATAATGTCTGGTGGCATGATATGGTTGTTGTGCTGTCCAATACTTTGGATAATTTTTGTTATTCTTTTTATGTATTGTGCAAGAAAGATTAACGTTGTATGTAATTTTAGTATATACTAGAACACACCCGCGACATCGCCTTTCCGTGACTGAATTAAAGTACCTACGCCTTATTTTAGCCTGGATTTTTAGTATTCGTATTGTCTGATAGAGTCATGCTGATTATAAGGTGCACAGATTTCTCTGCTGTCAAAATCTTTCTGTTTGAACCCGTCCTGGTTTTCTTACTACAACCGGAAACTACATGTGACAATGATTGAATTTAGTAGTGTCAATCCCTGTATAATGACGGAGTTCAGGTGTGATTATGACCCGTGTATATAGCAAATCCCATATACACCGTTTGGTGGTGCGCTTGACAGAGGCGGAACGTACAGATTGGGTAACATGTAACAGGTGACATATATATGCTACTGGTATCGGTGATTATTGGTGATATTGATTATGTGGAAAACAAAAGGTCCTGGGCTCTCGGTCATAAAACTTTACTCAGTACTCGGAGTACAAAATTTGTGCTCGAAACACCAAATCCATAATTTTGGTTGGTTGATTTCTGAGTCTGAGTACGAAAATCGTGCTCGAAAGTTTTATGACCGCAATGGTATAATTTTTAATCTACACTATTGTCCTATATTAGTTACAGTGAAACCTGATTAAACCGAACCCTCAATAAACCGGAAACCTGTCTAATCCAAACTTGTTCTGAAGACCAATCATATCACATTTTATGCATTGTGAACCTGATGAAACCGAATACCTGCCAAAACCGAACAAAATCTCAAGTCCCGAAAGGGTTCGGTTTAGTCAGGTTTTACTGTATATATAATGTTGAATTCTTTGATTCGACGTTTTTACATCATGCCGGCTAACAAATTGGACCTTGTTATTTTAGTAGTATAGATGTTTGTTATGTGAAAATTTTCATAGTTCATGCACCCACTTTAAACATATATTTTTTGTGAATTTTACAATCGTAAACTATGAATGGTTTCCCTATCTACTTTCATATTAATACAAAGAGACTATTTGTTATGTTTCTCTTTTGTAATAAAATGTGAAAATCGATGAAACCATTCAGCGGAAATTTGGCATGCATTCACACGATGATATATCGAAAATGTAACCTGCGACAAATCTTTTATTTTCGCCTCTTTTTGAAGATCTTTTTAGGGGACGATCATTTGATTTTCGGGGAGGGGAGGGGGTGGTAGAAGGAGGATTTTGAAAATAAATAACATGGCCTAGTAAATAAATAATTTTGCGCAAGACCGGCTGAAAATTAATATTTTGCATCACAAAATGCAAGATGGACCAGGATACAGATGTAAACAAAAGTGAAAATTAATTTCCACACGGCGAAGCAAAATAAGCATGCTTAGCGATGTGGTATGATTGCCAGTGAGACAACTAGCCACCAAAGTTCAAATGCAGTGGATGTAAGTATTTACAGGCAACTGTACGGCCTTCAACAATGAGAAAACCCCATGCCATATAGTCGGCTATAAAAGGCCCCGACAGGAAAATGTGAAACTTGAATGGAGAAAACTAACGGCCTAATTTATAAGAAAATCATATACGAAAAACAAATATGACAGACATGAACCAACGAGTCGACAACCACTAAACTACAGGCTCCTGACTTGGGACAGGCACATAAAGAATGTGGCGGGGTTAAACATGTTTGTGAGCGCTCAACCCTCCCCTATAACACGGGACAGTTGTGTTACAGCACAACATAAGAACCATTGAACAGATATATCATGTTAAGGAGGGGTTTTTGCGAAAAATACCAGTCGAGAGAATGTTAAATTTCGCGAGCCGTAAGGCGAGGGAAATTCATTCTCAAGACTGGTATTTTAGGCAAATACCCCTCAAGAACATGCTATATCTGTTTAATTACACCGAATGTTAACGTACAAAACGCATTGAAGATCGTGACATTACAAGCGTCCAATCGGATAGAGTATTTTTTGGCAAATACCACGGCAGAGAGGGTAAGAAAGTGATAAAAGTAAATTGGTGAAAAATACACTGGCTATCAACCAATAATCAAAACCCAGGATTCTTACATAAGGTGTAATTAATATATAAATTCTACCGCGCTAAAGTACGTCCACATTATTCATTTCATTATTCAAAAATCAATAACGTTTAGTAATGAATAATGAATAATGAAATAGTTCATGTTTCAGTATTCAAGTTAAAAAGTGAATAATGAAATAGATCATTTAATTATTATTTGACTGTGACACTATCCCGTATTTTTGAATTTGCAATTTTTTATGTCAATTTACATATTTTCAAATTGATATCAGGGAAAAAAAACACTCTTTGAATTTTTTATCTTTAATTTATTTATTTAGTTTCGGAGGTTAAACTAGTGCGTTTCCCAAACTATTCTTAACCTAAATTCCGTGTTTTAATGTTATGGAGGACCTAAATGCCAAAATAGGCGTGAAAATTTTGAAATAGCCAATTTTGAATAATGGAATGGACATTTCAATAATTGAATTGACTGCTGCGAGCCTTCATCCCCTAATTACAGAAAAACCGTATACACCATTCAAAAGCTTGTCGATAGAGGAACAAAAGCTATATAGTAAATTGTTTGTTTTTGTCTTCCAAAAATGGTTGTAGGATTATTGTAACTTTTTTTTCTTGTATGATTTGAATGAAACATTTACATATGGGATTCCCCGGAGATATCGAATTGGGAAGGGAAGTAATATATGAATAAGGAGATGTGGTATGTTTGCCAATGAGACAACCACCCACCAAAGTTCTAATGAAATGGATGATAGCAATTATAGGCAACCATACGACCTTCAACAATGAGAAAAACCAAGACCGTATAGTCGGCTACAAAAGGCCCCGACATGAAAAAATGTGAAACAAATCAATTGGGAAAACTAACGACCTAATTTATAACAAAACAATTTACGATAAAACAAATATGACAGACATGAACAAAAGATAAACAATGAATTAAAGGCCCCTGACTTGGGACAGGCACATAAGGAATAAGTCAAACATGTTTGTGAGCGCTCAATCCCCCTAACCTGGGACAATGGTGTTACAGAACAACATAAGAACAAACTATAAAATCAGTTGCAATCGACTGACCTCAAAAGATCGGTACGAGGCAAAAGAAAACAACTTGCATCAAAACAATAGACATTAAGCATCAGAAATAAGAGTACTCGCAGTTACTGAGAGCTAGTTCAAAGCCAATTACCAGTAATAAATAAATCATGTTATCCCAGACTAAAATATCATCATTCATCTAACAGATTTAGTGTAAAGAGGTCATAAACAGTCTGAGAAATGCATGTAAACATTATTGTTTAGGGGCCAGCTGAAGTCTGCCTCTAGGTGCGGGATTTTCTCGCTGTGTTAAACATTGGTGGCCTTGGACTGTTTTCTGCTCTTTGGTCGAGTTGTTATCTCTTTGCGCATTCCCCTTTTCCATTCTCAATTC